GACTGTCTCACAAACATAACTTGATATATATATACTATATATATTAACTGGTAAATGTTTTAAGATGGCCACATGTGATGATAGCATAAGCATTAATAATTGGTGGATTATGGGATATTCCTTAAGTTTTAATGTAATGTAAACCGTGATATTTATCACAAATGTGTCATCCTATTATGACAGTTCACAGATATTACATAATTTCGCTTTCGCCGACATACTTGCCAGTTTCTATTCGTAGTATATGGCAACCCAAACTTAACTGAACAAGAGCATATATATGTTTCAATCAGTTGACTTGGTGGATATGTGATTCAACAACCAAAATAGCCTTAAACTAGGCAAAAAGTGAGCTCACTAATATCCCCGATTTCGACTGCAACATATTTCTACGGTCAAAACATGAAAAAAGCAAGTAATATTGTCTCAGAAATCCACTTCTTATCAAATCAAACTTAGCTCTGCACATGCCAGTCTTGATACCATCTGTTCATGCCAAACAAATACAAATTCATTGACCTGTAATGTACGCTTAATCCTAGATGCCCAACTTCTACAACCTTTACCTCCTATTTAATAAGCATGAAATAACAATTTTTGACTTAACCCCCTGGATGCCAGAGGGACATATATGTCCTTCCTCTAGAAACCCTCACTTAGAAGTGGATTGATTTTAACATTTTACTTCCTGCCTCTCTTAGCCTTAAAAATGTACCATAATTTTCCCTATTAAGTCAAAAGCGTTTTGACAAGTCTATATAAACTGACGTCCAAAAGAAACTTTACCAGAGTTTGAAATCATTCTTGCTCAAAAACAACGAAACATACATGCATGAAGTAAAGTGTATTGAGAAGATCAATATATCAACATAATCAACACTGAAAATGACAATCATACCGCGACAGAGATCAAACAGAACATTGAATAACAACTGAATAACGTTAACTAAAATATCCCGTGAGAACCTTAAACATTCTGCTATGATATGATCAGGTCCAGCATTCTTAGATGTTTTAGTTCTGTAATTGCTGTAGAAACCTCCTCTCTTGTTACAGGAGACTCAGGTATAGTAAGGCTTGATATCATGGTCAAAAGAATGAAATCTGCCATTATATGTAGTGGTATACTGAAACATATATCTGAAGTGTGTATACCGCGAGTCCATTGCTATGTGGGGAATAGCGTTGCTAGATGAAAAATGCCTGCACATTGTGCTCCACAACAATCATGAGTTACTCAGTTTTGGAAATAATTTATCATTTATAGATTCGTAGTAATTTCTTTTTACAGATTTTATAGTGCAACTGTATTTGTTTCTGGCATGCAAATATTTTCGTAGCGATAATTCATCATTAAAATGCACAAATTTCCAAATCTGCACTTTTCTTATCTTAGAAATGTGCACTTTTTATCAAACCAGGGTTGAGAATTTCGTCTATTTAAACTGCATTTATGTTTCATGCACTATGCAGCTTGACATATTACATTTGGAAGAGATGTTAGTGCAGTATCAATATAAGAAAGAACTTTGTCACAAAAGCTATGAAGCAATCTAGATATATCAGGTGAAAGTAGATTCTCCCTGAGTTCACAGACCTAGTCCCTGTCCTTCTTAAATCTGAGGCCATTACCCCCGGCACGTGCTTACCTTGCTTCGTGACCATCCTCACAGGGAGTAGCGTGAATGTCCGGTGACTGAACCCTACATCGTACATGTAAACAATCACACTATGACGGCATCGAACTCATGAAACAGTTTGAACAAAGAGCGAGAAGTAATAATGTAATTAATGGCACTTGTACCCACTGCTGAGGCAAATGTAAAGACCCGCACCTGCATCTGAAACACATATCCATGTGATGGTATTGAGATTAAAGTAAATACAAAGCTACAGCAATGAACGCCCACATTTGTTTGTCACCATATCGTGATGTATAACGGGTATCATGTATATATGAGCAATGGCCCAAACCAACGTGACTTGAAATATCATGTAAAATGTAATCAAACCCTGGCTCTGGCATCAAAATCCCCACCCAGTGGTATATTTAAGTGGTATAGGTAATGGGGATTCTGGCTCACTTCAACTGGGGCCAGATTTATATTCCTAAACTGCTGCTACAGAGGGAATTTTTTATGTGAAAATGATGATGTGTTTCAATAATCGTCATGCGATTAAGCTAAATTGCCTCTAGCTCACCACCACCTGGAGACAATCAATGCTTCTATGATATAATTTTTTATAAGTAATGACAGTTCTGCCACAACTCCACTGGAGCCAGATTTATATACCTATACTGCTACTACAGAGGGAATTTTCTAAACAGAAATGATGATGCGATTCAACGATCTTCATGATGCTAAACTAAATTGTAATGAAAATATTCTCTATTATTTTTACTCATACGCATACCATTATTTTGAATAAAGTGATATTCAACATTTTTACTAAGTTCTTCGTTCATTTCACAAGGAGACTTCCTCGGGGTAATTATCTTCAATAGAAGTGTGATAGTGCCATATCTCAGTGAGTCCTGCAATGTGATGATTTGCTGGAAGGGACTCGTGTACGAAAACTGTATCGCACAACTTAGAACACAGTCCATAAATATCGCAATACAGGGCTATAATACAAGAATTTGATTTAGTGGACCAACGCCCCTATCTGTTATTATTCGGACCATCCTCCATATTACGGTGACCTTGTAGTCAAAGCGTATGTACCCGTGAAGATCCGGGGTACAATAGGTCTTCAGCAACCTGTGCTTGACGAAAAAGGCGACTATGCTTTTCATAAGAAGCGACTAACGGGATCGGGTGGTCAGGCTCGCTGACTTGGTTGTTGCATATTATCATATCCCAATTGCTTGGATTGATGCTCATGATGTCAATCACTGGATTGTCTGATCAGACTTGATTATTTACAGACTGCCGTCATACAGCTGAAATATTGATGAGTGCAGTGTTAAACCAAAAACAAACAAACAAACCTACAAACAAACAAACAAACAAACAAGGCGTATGTCTGTCAGACTATCTGGCTGGCTAGCAGACGATTCGTCAGCGTCTTTGACGATGAGCTCGCCGTCCTTATAATAACCCATTTCTTTCAGTTTCTGTAAAGTTTCTCTTTGTTTCATTGTAAGGTCGTTAGAGATGCCATACCCAATGCTTTCCAGGTAATGTCTAAGGCTGACCGCCTGTGACTTATCTTCTGGACATATACACTTCACTATCATTTGTCTGGCTGATGTTTGTCCTGTAGAGCCCAGGCGATGTGCTGCTATGACAGCATAAGATGTGAGTGGTGGGTCCTCTTCCCCGGCTGTCTCGCTGAGTATATCGCAGACATAATTCTTACATATAAGGAGATCCTCCTTCTCTGACATACCGTAGAATATCACATTATTTCTACTGCTCCTGTCTATTGAGTTCATGAGTAAGCGTGTTACTCTGTTGTAGTAAGTCTGATTAGTTCTCAGTCACTTGTCCTGGACCATTATATATATATATATATATATATATATATATATATATATATATATATATATATGTGTGTGATTTTTCCCTAACTGAAGGCCTTTGCAAGTCTGCACATGGCTAAACCAAGTCTAGTTTTGGGCTAGTGGGCTAGTTTGATGTCGAAGGCTGCAGGCTGAGTGAATGAGTACGGTTTTACGCCGCTTTTGGCAATATTCCAGCAATATCACGGCGGGGGACACCAGAAATGGGCTTCACACATTGTACCCATGTTGGGAATCGAACCCGGGTCTTCGGCGTGACAAGCGAACGCTTTAACCACTAGGCTACCCGACCGCCCGCTGCAGGCTGAACAGATATAGGTATAGTTGGACATAATCAAAACTAAAAGATGAACAGAGATTGATATCGCTGACGTCACCTGTCACCTGACTTAATGAAGTCCAAACGTTCAAGATAGTATTTCCGTGTGGGAGGTTTTGGGGCGTTCAGGACAAGGGGTGTGTGGCTGTCTTTGTTTGTACATGCAATACAAACACCTTGGTTGCATATACAGACGGCTATCGTCTTTTCAAAATATGTATTCTTATTTAATCAAAGCACTGTCTCTATGGTTTTGAACACAACGTTGTTATATGGCAGCATATTTAATTGTTAAACAGTGATTGTAGCTGTGTTGCATCGTTTATGTTCGGAGTCGGTAGACGCTCACTGCATTGTGTTCGGACAGTGATCAGACGTCAGGAAATTATATTTAGATGCTAGTGTGGTCCAGTCCGGTATACCGCTGACGATGATAGTATGTTACCGAAATTTCTGTAATGTTCTATGTGGTGAAGGCACGATATGGAAATTTCCAGTAGTTTGTTAGGTTGTATATAAGGGGGAGATAGCGTGTTCACGTATCTCTCACGCTTTTCATTGCTTCTGAACCAGCTTTATTGTGAGGATCGCTCATCGACCCTGCTTCCCCGCCTGGGCCCTTCTCGGAAGCTGGTGTCGACGCTAGGTGAATATACATAATTATCACTGACTTTTGCTATCACCACTGTATTTTTGTATTTGATACTGACCATTCCCATCATATCACATATTGCCACCGAATAATGTACTACCACTCTATTATGTACTGTCACCGAACTTGCTGTGCAGTAATTTGTGTTGATTTTTAAACCTAGTTTACTTTGTTATACAATTGTTAATTGTATTCCACTTATTGGTTGATTGTTGGTTTCACAATCTCATTAATATCAGGTCTTGCATGATTAGACCGACTGTTTCAGGATCTGGTAAGCGATGCTTTGATTGGTCGGATAAAAGGTCTTTCTGACATGACTCGTAATGGGATGTCCTCAGATCTTTGTTGATCTTTGAACAAGATCTGATTTCAATGAGATTGTTGGTTTCACAAAAAGGTCTTTTACGTACAGATTACTGAGTAAACACAGTGTTTCAATTTGGGAATCTACACGTAAAATTGTCTACAAACCAAGTTACATGTATATATAAAACAAGGCCTTGTGTTTCATTAGCTTTATTTTGCAAAAAGCAGTCTCCCTGAATAAAACATCGAGATCAGGTTTACAAATAGTTGAAAACATTTATCCTTGAAAACGCATTGAACGGGAAAACATTTAGCCAGAAAACATGTTAGCTTTGCGACCTCGGACTCCGAGCCCCGTGACCTTGAAGACTGAGCCAGCCAATGGTGTTGCCTCCAATTCTGCTGGGGTCATCAGGTATTTCGATGATGTGACGTAGAGGTCGGTGAAGTCGTCCCCGCCAAAACAACAGGAAGTTATCTTTTCACATGTGAACTTGACAGTTCGGATCACTTTTCCTGGATGGACAAAAATATCAATACTTTCAACCAACTAAACTCATTTGCAAATATATTGTGAAAATGTAGTTACTACTGTATAACTTGTTTTTTTCTGCTGCACTTCGCAATATTCCAGACATATGGCGGCTGTCTGTACGTTTGTAATCTTCAGGCCAAGATAATCCAGCGATTAACATCTTGAGCATCGATCTAAGGAATATTGGGATATGATGACATGCATCAACAAAGTCAGAGAGCCTGACCACCGATCCCGTATGCCGCCTCTTACAACAAACATGGGTTGCTGATGATCAAATGAAGCTTGTAGTTTGTCCCTGCTTTGCTCATTGTTTAACGCCGCACTCATCAATATTCCAGCTATATGATGGCGGTCTGTATATAATCAAGTCTGGACCAGACAATCGAATGATTGACACCATGATGTACGCGATTGGGATCTATGATATGCACCAAATTATGACATGCATCAAAGTCAGCAGGCCTGACCACCCGATCCCGTTAGTCTCCTCTGCATGGGTTACTGAAAACACATTCAAACCCGGATGCGACTAACGGGATCGTGTGGTCAGGATCATTGACTTGGTTGATGCATGTCTTCGTATCCCAATTGCGTCGATCGACGCTCATGATGTCTGGTCCAGAACCGATTATTTGCAGACCGCCGTTATATAGCTGTGATATTGTGTGGCGTTAGACAACAATCAAACATTCTTTTCCCAGCCCTATGTTTCGTCAACCTTTTGTCAGTAGATAGCCCAGCCCCGGATGCCATGAGTAAGCCGACCCTGTCTCTACCAACTGGTTTGCGTTTACGCCAAGTGTTGTCAGATTTTACACCGAACTGTGTGCTGGGGGCAAGATCAAATGAACTGTCATCATCGCAAAGGTCTCGCAGGCAAACATTCTGATACAACTTGTACACGGCCACCAGACAACAGTCTGATACAACTTGTACACGGCCACCAGACAACAGTCTGATACAACTTGTACACGGCCACCAGACAACATTCTGATACAACTTGTACACGACCACTAGACAACATTCTGATACAACTTGTACACGACCACCAGACAACTTTCTGATACAACTTGAACACGGCCACCAGACAACTTTCTGATACAACTTGTACACGGCCACCAGACAACATTCTAATACAACTTGTACACGGCCACCAAACAACATTCTGATACAACTTGTACACGGCCACCAGACAACATTCTGATACAATTTGTACACGACCACCAGACAACATTCTGATACAACTTGTACACGGCCACCAGACAACTTTCTGATACAACTTGTACACGGCCACTAGACAACATTCTGATACAACTTGTACACGGTCACCAGACAACTTTCTAATACAACTTGCATACGGCCACCAGACAACATTCTGATACAACTTGTACACGGCCACCAGACAACATTCTGATACAATTTGTACACGGCCACCAGACAACATTCTGATACAACTTGTACACGGCCACCTGACAACATTCTGATACAACTTGTACACGGCCACCAGACAACATTCTGATACAACTTGTACACGGCCACCAGACAACATTCTGATACAATTTGTACACGGCCACTAGACAACATTCTGATACAACTTGTACACGGCCACCAGACAACATTCTGATACAACTTGTACACGGCCACCAGACAACATTCTGATACAATTTGCACACGGCCACCTGACAACATTCTGATACAACTTGTACACGGCCACCAGACAACATTCTGATACAACTTGTAGACGGCCACCAGACAACATTCTGATACAACTTGTACACGGCCACTAGACAACATTCTGATACAATTTGTACACGGCCACCAGACAACATTCTGATACAATTTGTACAAGGCCACCAGACAACATTCTGATACAACTTGTACACGGCCAACAGACAACATTCGTCCCCAGGTTGAGACCACACCTTAAGCTTGGGTGCCAGTTCTCGGGGGTGATCACACTGACGTGTTTTTAACTGACTTTCCAAATAGGTAAATAGTTCTTTTTATCGGAATCAGTTATCAGTATGGCGTTGCCCCACTGCATACGTCCGTGGGCGTGGCCGACCGTCCACTTTAACAAGGTCATTTACTTTGACAGGTGTCAAATTGTCAGCCAAAGAACGCAGATGTAGTTTTGGATTTTGTAATTATGTTTATTGTAAACTGAAAATCAAGTGAAATAAATGCTATGTTGAATATAATGTGAAATCATGTCGTTGATATGAAACCATGTTTCTGGTCTTAAAATTTGCATTTGTGATATTGCAGCACGGGAAACTAAGAATGAATGCTTTGGGTTAATGAATGACCTCAATGAGAGAAAGAAAGCCCCACCGTCAAATAAAAATGTATCTTTGTTTAACTGACCAATCAGCTTCAAGAATCACTAATTGCAAATTGTGCAAATATCAAAATGATATATCATTTATTTTAGCCCGTAAGGGTAATAAGACAAAGTGAGATCCAATCTTTGATAAATATTGGAAGATAGGCTTGCTTCTAGATGTTCAAATGTTCATGTGTCGCTCATATTTACACCACTTACCAGTCTCGGGGTCCAGTCGGACAACTTTCCCAGCGTCAAAACAGGCCACCCATAATTTCCCCTCCGTATCAACGGTCATTCCATCCGGGTAACCCAGATCTGGGATTTCAGTGGAGCTGAAGTCAGCTACAGTTCTCTTGTTGCCTGGAGAACACAAGATAATCCTGTATCAGCATGCAATTGAGGTAGTATTGTCTGTTTGCTTGTTGTTTAACGCCGCTCTCAGCAATATTCCACCTACATGACGGCAGTCTGTAAAATAATCGAGTCTGGACTAGACAATCCAGTGATTGACATCATGAGCATCGATCGATGCAATTGGGATTGATGTGTCAACCAAATCAGCGAGCCTGACCAACCGATCCCGTTAGTCACCTTTTACGACAAGCATGGGTTGCTGAAGACCTATTCTACCCCGGATCTTCACAAGTCATTTGAGGTAGTAACTCTATTGGGTTGAGCAAAGAAAAAGCAATCAATAGATCCGTATTTACTACACTTTAGCCACCTTTATGTCCACAATAGATCCGTATTTACTACACTTTAGCCACCTATATGTCCACATTAGATCCGTATTAACTACACTTTAGCCACTTTAGCCACCTATATGTCCACATAGAGATCCGTATGTACTACACTTTAGCCACCTTTATGTCCACAATAGTTCCATATCTACTACACTTTAGCCACCGTTATGTCCACAATAGATCCATATTTACTACACTTTAGCCACCGTTATGTCCACAATAGGTCCGTATTTACTACACTTTAGCCACCTTTATGTCCACAATAGATCCATATTTACTACACTTTAGCCACCGTTATGTCCACAATAGATCCGTATTTACTACACTTTAGCCACCTTTATGTCCACAATAGTTCTTTATTTACTACACGTTACCCACCTTTATGTCCACAATAGTTCCATATTTACTACACTTTAGCCACCGTTATGTCCACAATAGGTCAGTATTTACTACACTTTAGCCACCGTTATGTCCACAATAGATCCGTATTTACTACACTTTAGCCACCGTTATGTCCACAATAGATCCATATTTACTACACTTTAGCCACCGTTATGTCCACAATAGATCCATATTTACTACACTTTAGCCACCGTTATGTCCACAATAGATCCGTATTTACTACACTTTAGCCACCGTTATGTCCACAATAGTTCTTTATTTACTTCACGTTAGCTACCTTTATGTGCAGAATAGATCCGTATTTACTACACTTTAGCCACCACAATGTCCACAATAGGTCAGTTTTTACTACACTTTAGCCACCGTTATGTCCACAATAGGTTAGTATTTACTACACTTTAGCCATCATTATGTCCACAATAGGTCACTATTTACTACACTTTAGCCACCTTTATGTCCACAATAGATCCGTATTTACTACACTTTAGACACCTTTATGTCCACAAAAGATCCGTATTTACTACACTTTAGCCACCTGTATGTCCACAATAGATCCGTATTTACTACACTTTAGCCACCATAATGTCCACAACAGGTCAGTAATTACTACACTTTAGCCACCGTTATGTCCACAATAGATCCGTATTTACTACACTTTAGCCATTGTATGTCCACAATAGATCAGTATTTACTACACTTTAGCTTCCGTTATGTCCACAATAGTTCCATATTTACTACACTTTAGCCACCTTAATATCCACAATAGTTCCATAATTACTACACTTTAGCTACCTTTATGTCCACAATAGGTCAGTATTTACTACACTTTAGCCACCTTTATGTCCACAATAGATCCGTATTTACTACACTTTAGCCACCGTTATGTCCACAATAGGTTAGTATTTACTACACTTTAGCCACCGTTATGTCCACAATAGATCCGTATTAACTACACTTTAGCCACCTTCATGTCCACAATAGATCCGTATTTACTACACTTTAGCCACCGTTATGTCCACAATAGATCCGTATTTACTACACTTTAGCCATTGTATGTCTACAATAGATCAGTATTTACTACACTTTAGCAACCGTTATGTCCACAAGAGGTCAGTATTTACTACACTTTAGCAACCTTTATGTGCAGAATAGATCCGTATTTACTACACTTTAGCCACCTTTATGTCCACAATAGGTTAGTATTTACTACACTTGAGCCACCTTTATGTCCACAATAGGTCCGTATTTACTAACTTTAGCCAACGTTATGTCCACAATAGATCCGTATTTACTACACTTTAGCCACCGTTATGTCCAAAATAGGTCAGTATTTACTACACTTTAGCCACCTTTATGTCCACAATAGATCCGTATTTACTACACTTTAGCCACAGTTATGTCCACAATAGGTTAGTATTTACTACACTTTAGCCACCGTTATGTCCACAACAGATCCGTATTTACTACACTTTAGCCACCTTTATGTCCACAATAGATCCGTATTTACTACACTTTAGCCACCGTTATGTCCACAATAGTTCTTTATTTACTACACGTTAGCCACCTTTCTGTCCACAATAGTTCCATATTTACTACACTTTAGCCACCGTTATGTCCACAATAGGTCAGTATTTACTACACTTAAACCACCGTTATGTCAACAATAGTTCCATATTTTCTACACTTTAGCCACCTTTATGTCCACAATAGATCCGTATTTACTACACTTTAGCCACCTTTATGTCCACAATAGATCCGTATTTACTACACTTTAGCCACCGTTATGTCCACCATAGGTCAGTATTTACAACACTTTAGCCATCGTTATGTCCACAATAGGTTCGTATTTACTACACTTTCGCCACCATTATGTCCACAATAGATCCGTATTTACTACACTTTAGCCACCTTTATGTCCACAATAGATCCGTATTTACTACACTTTAGCCACCGTTATGTCCACAATAGATCCATATTTACTACACTTTAGCCACCGTTATGTCCACAATAGATCCGTATTTACTACACTTTAGCCACCGTTATGTCCACAATAGTTCTTTATTTACTTCACGTTAGCCACCTTTATGTGCAGAATAGATCCGTATTTACTACACTTTAGCCACCACAATGTCCACAATAGGTCAGTTTTTACTACACTTTAGCCACCGTTATGTCCACAATAGATCCGGATTTACTACACTTTAGCCACCGTTATGTCCACAATAGATCCGTATTTACTAAACTTTAGCCACCTTTATGTCGACAATAGTTCAATATTTACTACACTTTAGCCATCATTATGTCCACAATAGGTCACTATTTACTACACTTTAGCCACCTTTATGTCCACAATAGATCCGTATTTACTACACTTTAGACACCTTTATGTCCACAAAAGATCCGTATTTACTACACTTTAGCCACCTTTATGTTCACAATAGGTCCGTCTTTACTACACTTTAGCCACCGTTATGTCCACAATCGATCCATATTTACTACACTTTAGCCACCTTTAAGGCCACAATAGATCCATATTTACTACACTTTAGCCACCTTTATGTCCACAATAGGTCCGTATTTACTACTCTTTAGCCACCGTTATGTCCACAATAGATCCATATTTACTACACTTTAGCCAACGTTATGTCCACAATAGTTCCGTATTTACTACACTTTAGCCACCTTTATGTCCACAATAGGTGCGTATTTACTACACTTTAGCAACCATTATGTCCACAATAGATCCGTAGTTACTACACTTTAGCCACCTTTATGTCCACAATAGATCCATATTTACTACACTTTAGCCACCGTTATGTCCACAATAGGTCAGTATTTACTACACATTAGCCACTGTTATGTCCACAATATATCCGTATTTACTACACTTTAGCAACCTTTATGTCCACAATAGTTCCATATTTACTACACTTTAGCCACCGTTATGTCCACAATAGTTCCATATTTTCTACACGTTAGCCACCTTTATGTCCACAATAGATCCGTATTTACTACACTTTAGCCACCTTTATGTCCACAATAGATCCGTATTTACTACACTTTAGCCACCGTTATGTCCACAATAGGTTAGTATTTACTACACTTTAGCCACCGTTATGTCCACAATAGATCCGTATTTACTACACTTTAGCCACCTTTATGTGCAGAATAGATCCGTATTTACTACACTTTAGCCACCACAATGTCCACAATAGGTCAGTTTTTACTACACTTTAGCCACCGTTATGTCCAGAATAGATTAGTATTTACTACACTTTAGCCACCGTTATGTCCACAATAGATCCGTATTTACTACACTTTAGCCACCTTTATGTCCACAATAGATCCGTATTTACTACACTTTAGCCACCTTTATGTCCACAATAGTTCTTTATTTACTACACGTTACCCACCTTTATGTCCACAATAGTTCCATATTTACTACCCTTAAACCACCGTTATATCCACAATAGTTCCATATTTTCTACACTGTAGCCACCTTCATGTCCACAATAGATCCGTATTTACTACACTTTAGCCACCTTTATGTCCACAATAGATCCGTATTTACTACACTTTAGCCACCTTTATGTCCACAACAGATCCGTATTTACTACACTTTAGCCACCGTTATGTTCACAATAGGTCAGTATTTACAACACTTTAGCCATCGTTATGTCCACAATAGGTGCGTATTTACTACACTTTAGCCACCATTATGTCCACAATAGATCCGTATTTACTACACTTTGGCCACCTTTATGTCCACAATAGTTCCATATTTACTACACTTTAGCCACCTTTATGTCCACAATGGTTCCATATTTACTACACTTTAGCCACCGTTATGTCCACAATAGATCCGTATTTACTACACTTTAGCCACCGTTATGTCCACAATAGATCCGTATTTACTACACTTTAGCCACCGTTATGTCGCCAATAGTTCCATATTTACTACACTTTAGCCACCGTTATGTCCACAATAGGTCAGTATTTACTACACTTTAACCACCGTTATGTCCACAATAGATCCATATTCACTACATTTTAGCCACCGTTATGTCAACAATAGATCAGTATTTACTACACATTAGCCACTGTTATGTCCACAATAGTTCCATATTTACTACACTTTAGCCACCTTTATGTCCACAATAGATCCGTATTTACTACACTTTAGCCACCATAATGTCCACAATAGGTCAGTAATTACTACACTTTAGCCACCGTTATGTCCACAATAGATCCGTATTTACTACACTTTAGCCATTGTATGTCCA